TTACGAGTGAACTCAACCACGTAAAAGTTCGATTGATTGAAAGTTTGCGTACTTTTCTTTCCCTCACATTCTTAGCTAGTTTACGGTTTAAGCATTCATGAGAACTTAATAGTTGACAAATGAGGATTTATAAGAGTTTACTGTACTTAGTGGTAGCACTCAATTGCGAACCTTAAGATAAAGAAATGCATTCGGTCAACGAATGACACTTTATATTTAATTGCCTTTTTAAAAAGTTTGCTGAGCTGCTCAGTCTAAAATTCGGTTCAATTTTATTGATTATTTAATTAACTTGTTATCATGAGAATTATTTAGATATTGATCTTGAAAATTAAAATTCAAAATCTCAATTCCGCGTAACATAAAACTCCTACTAAAATCAAAATATCTTATCTTAATGAATTTTCCTTCCGCGGCTTGTTACGGAAGGTTTGTTACTTCAAATTTGTATAAAAAGAGCATCACTTTTGGCAGTAACTTGGTGACATGTATATACCTCGTAACACACTTCGAGATTGATAAGGCAACATATTCCCAAATATAGGAGAATTCTTTCATAACAAGGACTCCAAGATCAAAGAGAATTTTCGTCACTTGCTATCCGGTCTATGATAACTACAACAGGCCTAAATTCAAGCAATCGTTTTTTTTGTTCGCAAAAATCTACATACCTGGTAAGGATCTGCATTAGAATATAAAACCGATATGTGGCAAACAAACTACTTCTTCGGCAAACCAAATTTTTAACCCGACGCGGTTGAGAGTTTCAGCAAGAATTACTTTTAGGATCACAAAAATGGCCAGGAAACTTGAACTGCTAGGATCCACGTCAGGCAGTCAGCTTACTTATGAGTATCGAGACCACGAGTGTTAAGATGTGCAATAATTGATCGATTGTAAACAGGTTAAGCAAGGAAATGTAATTAGTGGAGCAACGTTAGCCAATTTACAATATTTAATGTGAATACCTCGTCATGTCTGGAGAATAACTGATACTAACATGAAGCCATCTTAGTTCATGGAAAAAGGAAAGTATCGTGAAACCACGATGATAGGAATAGATTAATCGAAGTACCGCAAGAGTTAAGGACAAATTTAGATATTGCGAACAAGAAACAATAAGAAAATATTACTCATGGTGATCACATGGCAGCCGGAAAGATTACTTATGCGGTGACCTTAAGACGGCAGGAAAATATTACCTTATAAAATTAAGGAATGTGTTCAAGCAAATGGCCGAAGTTATTCTTGAAAAGATAATTTATATATATAAACTTGAGTCAGGGGAAGTTTCCTGAAGATCATCGGCCATGTTGAGGATACGATTATTTTAGAGTCCACGGGAATGAATATAGAAAGTTAATTGAAGAAACCAACGCAGGCAAATACAAAAGAAAAATAAATATGATTAACGATTAAATGATCGTGTTTGCAACTGGCTGTTGCTTATCTTGATTAATAATAAGCAGTGCCTTAATAATAATAAATTGCAATGTTACGAATAAAATATTCAATGAGTTTAAGCGTGTTGAATATTAGAGAAGTGCGCTTGATTTACATCGGATCCAATAATGCAAATTGATCCTACGTGCATTTTTAAGATTTTAGAACTGACGATTGAACTCAACCAAATAAACTTTAAAATTTGATTGATTGAAAGTTTGCGGACTTTTCTTTCCTTCACATTCTTAGTTAGTTTACATTTTAAGCATTCATATGAACTCAATAGTTGATAAAGAGTTTGACAGCAACTTGGTGACATGTAGGTATAACTCGTGAAGCACTTCGAGATTGCTAAGGCGACCTACTCCCAAATATAGGAGAATTCTTTCCTAACAAGGACACAAGGACTTCAAGATCATAGAGGCATCTTCGTCAATAGCTATCCGGTCTATGATACGTATCTACAACAGGCCTAAGTTCAAGCAATCGTTTTTTTTTTGTTCTCAAAAATCTACATACCTGTTAAGGATCTGCATTAAAATACAAAACCGACATGTGGCAAACAAACTTCTTAGCAAACCCAATTGTTACCCCGATGCTGTTGAGAGTTTCAGCAAGAATAACTTTTTAGGATAATAAAAATAACCAGGAAACTTAAACTGCTAGGATCCACGTCCGGCGATCAGCTTACGTATCGAGACTACGAGAGCTCGGATGAATAATTGATCGATTGAAAACAAGTTAGGGAATCACAATATTGAATGTGAAAACCACGTAATGTCTGGAAAATAACTGCTACTGTCATGAGGCCATCTCAGTTTAAGGAAAGATAAAGTATGGTGAAACCACGATGGCAGGAATAGATTAATCAAAGTACCGCACGAGCTAAGGATAAATTTAGATATTGCGAACAAGAGACAATAGGAAAATATTACACATGGTGACCAAAAGGTAGCCGGAAAAGGTTTCTTTATATGGTGACCTCAGGACGGCAGGAAAATATTGCATATGGTTACCTTACTAATTCCAGGAATGTTTTCACAAAATGGTCACATTCATCCCAGAAAAGGTTATTTATGTAGGTCTATAAACTTGAGTCAGTGAAAGTTTCATGAAGAACACCGGTCATGTTGAGGATACGATTAAATACAGCGTCCATGAGAGTGAATATAGAAAGTTCATTGTGGAAACTAACGCGGGCAAATACAAACGAAAAATAAATATGATTAACGATTAAATGATCGTGTTTGCAACTGGCTGTGTTGCTTATCTGGAAGAACGAGAATCAGTGCCTTCATATTAATAAATTTAAAATTCTAAGCCTCGCCTAGGAGAGAGCACGTTACTACAGGAGCAAAGACATCCAGGCACGTGGTACAGATGCCAGTCTTTCTAACACTGAACTTGTGGCAAGCTACCACCATTTAAAAGTAAAAGTGTCGTCTGTATGTCATGCATGTCAGTGTCTTTCCGTTAACAAGAAATATTTTGAAACAGGAGCTGTAATTTGGAACAAATATTTATGAGAAATTTTTAGGCCATGTTGTATTCGCTATAACTAGATTGTGCAGAGTTGCTCAATTATAGTTGAAAGCCGATTTCCGTGATATTGGTGGTACAAAATTAATAAACATTGGAAATCTTATCCGCTATTTAATTCAATACATTAAAATTGATTACAATACCAGCGCAAACAGCAGCAGTAAATTTGTTGCAAGTCAATTTTATGAATGTTATAAACGGATAAAATCTTGCACAAAAATATAAGAAAATTAAACAATTTAAAAAAATTCATAATGGTGCTTGAAAATAGAAAGTTGACGATAGACGTTGAAGATACAACACTCGACATAGAAACTAAATTGCAGTTGCTCCTCCACATGTTGAAATAACGTAGATGTGATGGACACAGTAATTCTAATCATAAATGCCTATCAAAAATTGATAGCCTACAATAAATCTTTCGCAAATGCATCATGGCAAATCCTTTTGTCTTCGGAGCTTTGACCACCAGCGCTTGACTGCTAAGGTCAGATATGACATTACCTGGAAAAATACTCAAGGCATGATGAAGATATTCATCAAAGCAGCAAAAAAAAAAAAAAGTCAGCAGCATAGTGAATAAAAATCATTTTATACATTGAATGAGGAAGAAGTCTGTTAAAGTGAAATAACGCGAGGTCAGTCGTGATCAGTAAACGAAATGCAAAAGAAGCGTTGCTCTCAACTGAATAAATTTTTTTCGAGAGTTAAGTAAATCAAATTCTTCAAACCTTGTATGAATGGATCAGTTATAACGAGCAACACAATTGCACTCCATTTGCTGACTTGTAACTGTTGAAAATTTTTTCTCCTATGAAGCACTCTATATTATGTAAAAAGTTGAGAGTGCATTGAATTTACATGTTAAACTACAATGTTCATGGCCAAGGCTGACTTCTTCTCACTTTACATATTGATTTAAAATGCACAATTTCTGATTCAGAGTAAAATGAAGAAATGTACAATAATTTTCATATGAATGGACTATATTTTGCGACTTCGGTTCTCGAACAATTATCTATACATTTGATTGTTGTGGTAATAAATATGGTGATATAAATTGAATGGGAAAGACGGATATTTTCATATGAATGAAGAATATATTTTACGACTTCGGTTCTCGAACAATAATCTATATGTTTGATTGTTGTGGTAATAAATGTGGTAATAAATGGCACGGGAAAGACAGATATTTTTATATGAATGAAGAATATATTTTGTGACTTCGGTTCTCGAACAATAATCTATATGTTTGATTGTTGTGGTAATAAATGTGGTGATAAATGGCACAGGAAAGACGGGGGCGGCAGAGAAGTGTAAGTGAGGCAGCCATAAGGCAACCCGCCTACTGGAAAGTTACGGCTCTACCCCGGCCTTGACCTGACCATCCATGTGAGGGGGCCTTCCCTGCTGCCGTTTGCGACTTTAAAGGAGAAAACCGATCATCGGATGATCAGTACTGATTACATTTGAACTTCCTAGTCACCTTTCGTTACCCAAACGCGCAATTCATATAAAATATAACTCAGTACTCGACCCTACAGTGAGTGACAAAGAGCGCATTTTCTCAAAATCGACGAAAACTTGAAGTCACGGACGGACGGACGGACAAATATGACAAGTAAAATAAGGCATTTTTTCATAAATGAGAAAATGCGCTAAAAATGGCTGCAACATGCAGCACGGATTTCGTTTCTACTTGCGTATTTGATTTCATAGTAAATACAATGTATATAAATGGGAGGTTTTTAATATACCAGCACAATTTTAAAGTATTAATAATTCAAATTTGATTTTAATCAAATTTGTGCTGCTCAAATTCATCTTAACTCATATGGTGATAAATATTTATACCCGAGTTTGAGAATCTGGTCTGTGCACCAATCAACTTTTACTTCGAAATATTACTGTAACACGGTAATTGCAGCGTCAAAAAAAGGATTGCAAATTACCTGTTTCTAGGGAATGATAGTTTCCCGCATCAACTTAAATTACCTAATTGGGCTACTTCGTACCTGAATAAAATCAGTTGTTCATTCTCCACAGCTCCACTCGTATAGAGGCTGTTCTCGATGATGCTTCAAATGACATCAAGGGCTACTCAGCTCTCACTTTGTTGCTGTTGAATTTCGCAGCTTTTATAAGAAGCTGAAGCCAACCATCTAACGTCCTAAAAAATGTTCATTGTAATCACAGTAATCAAGTTTGTAGGAGTAAAGGAAACCATTTGCATTCTCAATGCCAGGAGACCTTCCTTGACTTGTGAGGTGTTCAGATGCTCTCCTGTACAATCAGAGAATATTCGCTTGAATAATCATTAATCAATAATATTGTGCAACACTTTATTAATATTAGATTGTTATTTTTTAAACAATGTTAAATTATAGTAGGAGATGTTTGCCTCCTCATCACATACACTCAAGCAATAACACTGGTGAATAGCCGTATCAACTGTTCAACATGACTGGTCGCCATAGCCGTATAGCCGGAACCATATACGCCATCCATATAAGCCATGTGGGGGTGTAGTTGTGACGCAGCTAGTTCATGTAGGTATAGTGCGGAAATATTGTGCGTATATATAGTCACGGCACTCGTAATTTCTCTAGGAGAAGAAGCAATAAAAAAATGATGTGATTTAAGACTATGTAATGAATAATAAATAAATAAATTTTTAATGAAAAAAATGATGAGATATAAGGATATGAATAATAAGACAGGGAGACTACGTTATCAAATCAGCGGAGACGAATTTAATCGTAATGAATATAATGCACTGTCAAATGTATAATTATTGATGAAATTACGTCTTTGACATTACAAAGGCCCCAAAACGCTGAAAAGAATCAATTAGTCAATCGACATAAATTACCAATGTTTGCATATCAAAATAGTAGTCATTGGTAATCTCACCAAATTTACAATATTTTAAAAGTTTCACATAAGGAATGACAATTTCAAGACATATTCGGAGCACCAACAATAACGCAGGTCACAGGTATAAACCAAACACCACCCTTTCAGAGATTCAAATTATTGATGCCCTTTCAAATTCACGGTCGAGTAAATCATTCATCTGATCACGAAAATTTGAAGAGGCTGTAGACAATTGAATGCCTCTTGAAAATCGAGATCATGTAATCTCTCTCAAATTGCTCGGCTACGACGCCCATAATGAAAACTCATCAGAAATACCGTGGCCAAAAAAAGTTGATGGTTTGTGGGAAATTTATATTTTTCTCAAATCATGAAGTATAGTCAAGGATATAATTAATTGCGAAAAATTTGGTAATTTTTCAAAAAGTTAAAATATTAGGAAAAATGTTCATTAAATTAAAAATGAATCATGGCCTCGTTATACACTAAAGTTCAGGTTCACTAAAGTCGCCATTCATCGCTTCACTTCAATCTGAGTATCTCACAAGCAGCTGCTAAATTAAAGCTCCCAGTCCAGTGGAAGTATCCATGATACTGCAAGGAGTATCGATACTCACCCGGTCATGTGAACAGGATCCTACATATAGCTGGTTTCTCCTCATCAGGATACTCGGTGCATACAAATACGTATAATAGTCCATAATATATTGGTAAAAGTTTGCTGTGACTGCGTTTGTTCGTGCCTGCAGTGTTGTACATATAGACGACAGCTATTCGAGTGCAAATCCTGGACACAATTAATGCCTGAATTACTACACATGGGTTTCGAAATTTCATTTCATATGCGAGTTGATTTACGAAGTGTATACCTACATGAGCTGTGTATAACTGATTCAAAGAAGAAAATTTATTATTTGCTTTGAATTTTAAAACGGGAGCTTACTGAAAAAAAAAAAACAGACTAAATGCGGGTTATACGTGCTTTTATATTAGTTGTGTGAAATCGTAAGCCATTACCGTTATACTTGAATCTAAAAGGTAAGTTACACAAGTTACCGTCAGTATTCAAATTATTAAAATTTTCAGTACAGAGTTTCATGGTTATTTTGATGAATATTGGAAAGAAAGACTTTTGAAAGGGGCAAGGCAGCTCAAGTTATATATGCCATTTGGAAAACATTAGCATAACTATGGAAAATCTGCTTTAAACGGTGCGTTTTTTAAAGGTACTATAGCGCAAGCAAGGGTCGGCTACGTGGCTGATATATAGACCTCCTCATGGGGGTCAAAGATAGTAGTCGACTAATTGATCGGGGTTGAAATTAGAAAAAATTCATAATATTTTTCAAGACCTTCAATACTATAGATTTATAGAGTGGAATTTTTGAAAATAGAATTACAAATCTTTTGGTTATATAACGGGTTTCTAAACTGCATAAATGTATTAATGCGTAATCAATTCATTCAATTAAGTTAAAGCTAATCCCTTGAATAGCCTATAACCTGCCGAACTATGCGAAATTTCAAGGAAATGAAGAAATTTCAATCGATTGATTCGACTACTATAATTGGGATTGTTGTCAAGAGGCGATATTTTGCTGACACTTGTCGCATTATATGATACAACAATATTATTTTTGAGAAATATAGATCCATTATTGTGTGGAAAACTAAAACTGTGCATGTGTTTTATAAAGGCAGCTCTTTCAAATTGAGCTATTTGAATATTCACGGGAACGTAGATATTTCAAACATTTTCTAACTTCTAAATTATTCATTTTACATATTCTAACTTGAGAATTATGGAAAAGTCTGAACAATTTTAGACAGTGACTTGTAGATACAATATAAACATCAGAATTGAATAAGATTAGACTCTACCCACGTTTTCAACAGCGGGAAAACATACGTATTCTGTGATGGCATGTCCTTCCATTTGATGTGAAACAGACAATAAAAGTTTTTAATCCAACTTAGAAGATGAATTTGTCGAAATTTCCGTGGATCTGAAAACTAAAACGTTGTTCGAATACTGAATATTCGAATACACATATTGATTGAATATTGAACCCATGTCAGTACTGCCCTTAACTATCCGGAGCTCAAAGTTGAAGCAGAAGCTTTATAGCTTGCCTTCCCAACTTAATTTATGATTCTGTCATGCGAATGAAATTTTAACAGAGCAAAGAACGTGACTCAGTTTATCATTATTGTTGATCGAGATACCAATAGCTTTGCTTCGCTCAAGAAACTCAGCCACCTCATTAATTTCAGGAATATAGATAAATAGGAAAGTTTGGCATTCCTCACTATGCTATTATAATATATTTGGTCCGTTTAATAAGTTCATACAAATTTCTTAACTAAAATTATTTAAAATTCGAATCATTTAAAATATCTTAAAGGTAGGTGTCTTTTTTTCTATTTTACCGTCAACGAAAACTGCCAATTTAACTTGATAGTATCTTCGAACATTGAATAGTTAACAATATCAGCTGCGATAGGATTATGTTTTAATGAATTTCTATTTATTTTTGATCATCATTAAATTCAATAATTGGCAAACTTGTGCATCGCCGCTTTGTATGCGTGTGTGCTTGGAGGGAGTCGACATGTTTACAAATATCTAACAGGAGGTCTTTGGTGATCGAAAGATAGTTCTTGATGGAAACAACATTGAATGAAAGAAAATTTATGTCAAAATGAGCCCACCAATCACGCGAACAAATGTAAACTTACATAGTTCTGAAAAGGCATAGTTCCAAAATACGAATATATAGATGCTGTTTCACGGATTACTCACTTCTCTCCAGTTATTGATCAATAGCTTTAGCCCAAATTTTCTCTCTGTATACCAGGTGGTTTGTCGATTGAGTTGAATACTACCTGCATTGTTTGCCAACTTGCTTTACGAAGTGAGAACTATTTCCTTTGATAAGTACTCATTCATAGTGCGACTAATTATTGTAATTCTGCTGATCGAAAATAAGAGTACATGCTAAATACTTTCAGCCTGCAGGCTGATCTTACCCAAAGCTAACCGGTGCTCCTTTCGTACGTCGAAAATTAAAATAATTCACGAGTTTTTTCCGTTTAAACATAGACGGTATTGACGATAGTCCCCAAATTGGGTCCAAAATGTCATTAAATCTCGAAAACTCTCGTTAGCGGTTAGTAACTAACTTAATTTGTGTTACGGCGGTAATAAGGATTAACGGATAACTCGGTACATCAGTGTAGATGTACCATCCTGATTTGTGCCGCGATCAGTGCCAAAAACCAATTAAGCTAGCGAGAATCACGTCGATCAAGCAAATTTTTTTTGCCGCACATTTCATCTTCCATTCACATCCTCCTTTCTTATAACTTATTTTGCTTAAAGTCCCAAATTAACTTTTACTTTTTTCTACCCTTGTCCTTGAAAATACTACAAACAAAAATAGAATATGTGTCGAAAAGTATCATAATTGCACGTTTCGGCATAAACATCCAAAAGCTCTCAATGAGCCAGCCGTGAGCTTGAAAGTCAGCAGGACAGTCGTTCTTCATAGCGGATAACTTTTGGTTCTAGTGCATGCACAACATTCACTTGACGCTTCGCAATGTCAATAGTCATTTAAAATAATAATCATTTGAAGAATAAGTAAAATTTATGAAATAACCTTTTTATTCAACCAGCAATAAAATAAATTTCATCCATGTGGCCAAACAGGAGTCAAATGGATTTAAAATATATATGCTATGCATGAGTCTGCTTGAAAGGGTATTTTTTTGGATCGAAACTTCGGTTTAAATGCGCAAATCTTAATTCTTGGACACGGTAAGAGATGACACTATTATTACTGTATGATGGTCAGATAATTGCTAAGGGCATGACAACGTAGCAGCGAACACAAACTGGAGGCTGTTGTGGGTCTTTTAGGAGACGAATCAGACGATTGTAAGTGACCATGTGTAGTCACTTTTCCGCTGGAGCTACATGGATGCGTCTCCGAAGCTCCAATAAGCATCAAACATCATCATCATCACTTTTCCGCTAAAGAGTTTAGATCATGGTTGAACTATATTAGTTCAACCATGGGTTTAGAGTTTTCAGAAAAACGCGATTTTTCAAACCCTGAGTTCTTATTCTAGAAACGACTCTAGCGTGTAGGAAGGGTAATATTATTAACTTTTTACCAATATTCCGTTCACTTCATTATCATTAATGCATTAAACCAATAAAAATTTTCATTATTAAATCAAAATTGCGTTATAGCGCAGATGAAACTCGTGGTTATCCAATGATAAAAAGTGGTTCGTGAGCGGTTTTCGGATGACGGATTTCAATTGCCTTGGCGGTTGATGGTAAATCCTCTGGTAAGTGTACGACAGGCGAACGGCGGCCGTTAGCCGGGAGGGCGTGTCCAATTAAGAAATTGGACTCATTTAGATAGTTCGTATGGTGAGTTTGACTTTCGAATTTTTAATAAATTAGCAGTGCTAATAGAAGTAAATGTAGATAGTTTGTAGGATTCCGGTGCTTAAGTGCTGTTTCCGATTTGTGACCTGAGACCGTGAATAAAAGTTTGATAGAACGCGAATAAAAGTTTGATTTACGCATTTCCCTTGTTTAACGCCCAACACTTCTAACTCGGCCAACTCAAACTCATGGTAGTCAGATATTTGGCTATTTTATTAGCAAGTTGCTATAAGTAGTAAGTAGTAACATTGCGTGCGCTAAAATTATGAAATATATAAATGTCAATAAAAATATGTAAACTCGGATTTGAGGCGTATCTATGCTTGGGTGGCGATAAAATTAATAAGTGTATTGGAAAATTGTTGGGGTAATGATTATGTAATAATATTTACCATTCGATAGTTTCTATGAGAGAATTTGTGAATAAAGAATGGACATCGCCTACACGACGCTGAAATATCACTTCGGTCATGGATGGCAGCAGTTGGAATAAATTTCAATATCTTGCTTAGGTAGTTATTTATAAGTTATAACTTAGATATTCAAGTTTTTTAATGAGTCATCTTAATAATTTTCGAGCAAATTTTTGAACAGCCGTTATTTTAATAATCCAAATATATAATTCAAATGCGACTTGGTCTGATCAGACGCCTTTCGAGTTCCTAGATGCAGAAGAGACGGAAGCAGTTGTTTTTTGCTGTCGTGCGCCCGAACCAAGAGTTTGGAAACGTCGTGTGGTCACCGAAACTTGAAAAGGACAAAAATTTAATAGAGATTGTTCAAAGACGTGCAACAAGGATGATTCCGGGCTTGAAAGGCAATTCCTATGAGGAAGATTATGAAGCTTCCAAGCCTCAGTTATCGACGTCTGCGTGAGGAACTCATTGAAGCATACAAATATACTCATGACTAATACAATGTCCCAGAAGGATTACTAGAATTTGAAACAAGAACCAACACCAGGGGCCACGGCTATAAACTAAAAACTGCGTTGTAACACATCCAGGCGACAATGTCCCAGAAGGATTACTAGAATTTGAAACAAGAACCAACACCAGGGGCTACGGCTATAAACTAAAAACTGCGTTGTAACACATCCAGGCGACAACATTTCGCTTCGAGTCACCGACCTGTGGAACAGCCTTCCTGATAGCATCGTTGACGCTCCGAGTATGAACGCCTTCAAGAACAGACTAGACTAGACGAAGCTATGCAGGAGCATATGTTCAGTCTTAAAATGCCTAGCAATTTACAGACCTGGCTATAAGTACAGCAGCTATCTCAATCAATCGTCAGTTATGGAAAGATCGGGTTCCAAAGGCCGGATTAAGTCACGAAAAATTCAAGAATCGTCAACAGGTCATGGGCCTATTTCTTCAGTGCCGACACTTCTATTCTATTCTATTAGCACTATATCTCAGTCAGTTACAGTTTCGCATCCATTCGCAGTATCGGATCACTCAAAATGTCATTACCGTCGATTTTGGTTCGTTTTTACTGTTTTGTAATTCATCTAAGATTATTTTTTCCCACCAAATTTTTTGAGACATCACAGTTATTCGCAATATGAACTTGTTCTCTTAGCACAACAGCTGAGATTCTAAGGCAGGGTCAATGTTGGAGATAACTGCTGTGTGTGTTGTCATTTCTTGTTATCCGTCATGAGTTTTCTTTTGTAAGTTAATGCATTTACACTAAATTACTCTTAATTACACTAATCAAAACTAATCGTTTTAAAATAATTTTTTTACCCTATCCAATTATTAATTACTTCCCATTTCCCAAGGACCCAATTTGTAGGCTAGCCCTACTGTCACTAATCGTCTAATGTGTGTGGAATTGGTATTTGGTGGTTTGCTAGAACCTAGAAGACTGCCAATTTTGATTTTACTCTGATATCCTGGCATGAAATTTATATATATTTATAAAGATTAACAATCATCTGGATACATCAATCCCATTGGGTCTTTGCTTTACTTGATCTAGTATGAACAATTTCTACTAAGATTGCTGCATTCTTGCCAAAAATTTTTTAAATTGAGGGGAAGGGGACTGCCGGACTGGCTCCGGCAGCTTGGTCCCCCGTCCCTGAAAAACCTACATTTACCAACCAATCTTTTTGAAATTTCAGACACATAAGTAAAAAGAAACAATTTGCTTCTATGATTTTTTGAAAAAAAAATGAAAGGAATTAGGTATGAAATTACCTAATAGTAAAAAGCAAAAAGTGGGTGGGCTAATCTAAAAAGTTTAGAACTTTTTCAAATCACAGGCTACATCAAGAATTTCAATCTAAATGTGTCGGCAAGATCTTCTGAAGGCAAAAATTTTGCCAATAATGCGTCGCCGTAGGTCTTTAAATCTTTGTTCACTCGCTGTACAGTGGACCCTCACTCCCCCCTTGGGCCTCCATAACCTTGTCAATTTTGCAATTTCGCAAACACCTTTCATTTAATGAAAGGTGTTTGTTTGCTCATTTGAAAGCCGGGCTTTCAAATGAGCAAAATCTTGTTTCTAAAATGTTTTGCGGCACCTCCTAGGGTAAACGCGGTATATTCCGACACATTAAGGACGCATTGAGAAATGAAAAACTATAAAAAAAACCGTATGCGTTACGTAAGTTTTGTTGGCTTCACGTGACTCTCAAAACACCGCACTACGTGTCAGCCATGGTCAGGAAGATGTGCCAGATGCGCGGGAATTTATTTTGTCATTTTAACGACCTGCGCGGTGCGCCGTACTACGTTGGCAAAAAAATGCGCCGTGCACCGTACTTTAGAAAGCTAAAATAGTTCTACTATTTTAGTCAACAATATACGCGAGTATATTGACTACGCGAGTCGAACTGACAATAATAAAATGTAAGACATGTCCGGGTTACTTCTGACTCTTCCGGTTGTCCGCCTTGTTGGATACGGAACGTACGGTAATCGTAAACTGCGGCTGTTATACATACGAAATGTAAACAGACGGTGTTCAGTGTTGCCATATGACTTTGGAAAAAATGTCTTCTAAAATAAAGATGCCCGGGATTGCGTGAACACGTGCGTGAATATAATCAATTTTCATTACATTGCACCAACTGTTCACAGCAATAGCTTAAAAAAAGTGAAAATGCGCAGGAAAATTCACCGAAAACATACATCATCCTGAGTGTGGCTTGTCAGCAACGATGAAACGTCACAAAATGTTGCCATATTTATTAAAAAGCCTTTAGAATGGAAACCTACAAAATCCCTATATTCCGTCACTTGAAGAGTTCTACTACAATGCATCAAAACCTGGAGTTATTTTACCAAAAAATAAAAAAATTGGAGGGGGTACTCCAACAGGCTTTAAATAATAGCTCAGTTAGCTCTTTTTTGTGGGTCACATTATTAATTTTTTAACTTATTAGATATGCAAACTTTTTAAATTTTTCAATTGTGTTACATAGCCTCAGTACTAGGCCTTTGATGGCCATTGATAAAATTGTTCTATGTCAAATCGTTTTTGAGTTTTGGGAGTTTTTGTTAAAAAACGAAAAGTGGTCAAAGTTACCCCGCCAGTCAAAGTAACCCCATTTTAAGATACAAAGTTGCATTTTTCATTGTCCAATGGCTATTTATAATTATTAGTAATTCAATGTTTCCTTGTTAGAGAAAAGTTTTCCTGTAATTTTGGTTTAAAAGATTCATATTTGATTAGATTCACAACCACCCAGATAAATGGTAGTAGTTTTAGTTTTCTCAAAGATTACTTACCTACTTCTATATTAGAAACTTTTTCATTCTTCAGTATGAACTGTCTTTATTGTTATTTGAAAAAGACATGTAAATTTTTAATTGGAGATATTTGAAGAACTAATGCTAAGACTTTGAAAAATATCAAATTTTCTGAAAAGTGTTGTACACAGAACCCAGGCTTTAGACCTCAAGCTGTGTACTATCAATTTAATATTTAGAGCAATAAATTTAATATTTATATACTTAACTATCCTATGTTTTGCAGTGGAGGACGGTCCAGTAAGACATTCAAGCCCAAGAAACACATTCCTGAGGGTACCCACCAATATGATCTGATGAAACATGCTGCTGCAACACTAGGTTCTGGCAATCTCAGGTGACGAATGCAGGTTAAACTAGACGTGATGAGTTGATAAAAAGTGCTGACAAAATAAATTGGTAAATGATATAATTTTATTTTTGTGTTTTAATGGCAATCTCAGGTGAGGACTAGAAGTGAAACTAAACTTGATAAATTAATAAAAAGTGCAAACAAAAGAAATCAGTAAATGATCTAATTTAATTCTTGTGTTTTAATTGCATCTTCTTTGAATTTTCAACAACATTTAGGTTGTTGTTTATTATGCACTCAACTTAGGTTGAAACTTCATGCATATACTTGCTGTACTCCTGACTTCTGTTGAGAATTTGTCAGCTCACTGTGTCTAATTTTTTCTCCCTTTAATCAAATTTAGCATTGTGCTTTATATAGGTACCGGTATATGCTGTGATGAAATATGCCAATGCCATTCAATAAATGGTGGTCAAATAAGTAATTAAATGGTAATCTTTGTCAAGTCTAGCTGAATCTAATATTTTTTTATATTTGTATTCAAATTTGTGTCTTTATGCAAGTGTTTTTTTTTTTGTTATGTTTTGGTCATGTTGCCAAATTGAATGGCTTCATAACATGAACATCAGAGTAAAATAACTCAATATACATATAACTTGTGTTTTTTAGCAACTAAACTATGCTATCCTTCTGGTAACTTCTTGTACAAGCTTTCCAGCTGTCATCATTTATGTCAAGAAAACATGTGAAGTACAGTTGACGTGGTAGTACATTCTTTAATGCTACTTTGCAGGGGTATAAGTACGTATGTAAACGAATTGTTATTCTCGGCTTGTTTCACCATCCAGTAATTTTTTATTTTTTGAGATACGTACCGTGGTAGCTTGAAAAACTGTGTAGGTATGTGCATTTAATCTTTAAAATGTAAGTACCATGTAATTGCATTGCAAAACTGTAACCTTATTTACTGTGAAGTTTAAAATTTTGTTGCATGTTACAGATTTGCAATTTTATAGTCTTGAAATTAAATGACTTCATGTATGATTTGTTATCTCAACTGAAATGATCACTCGAATCTCCATGACGAAAATGAACTTTCAGAATTGAGACCAGTTATAGCTGCATATATGGTAGGTATATGACGACAAATTTATCATAATAATTAATTAAGTTACTGTGTATACTTACCTAACTCAAGTATCTTAGAGTGTTTGGTGAGATGCATTTGTAGAAAATAAACTTGAATTGATGTGTTACATCTCATTTTATGCACATCACATTTTTTTAAGGCTTGTTGCTCATTGTCTATTGTTTCCAGATCTGCAGTCATGCTTCCAGAAGGCGAGGATCTCAATGAATGGATTGCAGTGAACACAGTCGACTTCTTCAATCAAATTAACATGCTTTATGGAACTATAACTGAAATGTGCACTGAAGACTCGTGTCCTGTGATGTCTGCAGGCCCAAAGTATGAGTATCACTGGGCTGACGGACAAACTGTCAAGAAACCCATCAAATGTTCTGCTCCGAAGTACATTGATTATCTCATGACTTGGGTACAAGATCAGTTAGATGATGAGATGTTGTTCCCGTCCAAAATAGGTGAGATGTTCTACAGGATTTGACTGACTTTTTAAATTCTCTGTCAACCAAAACCAGGTAATTTTGTTTCTTTTGCTTTTTAGTTATTATTTCATTGAGAATCCTAATTCATTGTCAATTGAAGATTACATAATCTTGTCATATGATTTTATTAATGTTCATGCATGATGTTGTGCCATATTAAAAGAAAATTGAACAAAATGTTATCGTACAGGTACACGAAGTGTTATTGTTTTTACATTGGTGCACAGAGGATGACCATCACAAATAAGTTTAGGAAGTATTATTTATTCTCTAGAGTTTTCCTTAAAATTGAGTTCTCTATATCTCCTAAAGCACCTGTTAATACATCCAGGTAATAACCTGGTAATGAGTCTGTGTGGCATGATGAAGCTGATGTTGCATCGTGCTCAATACTAAGCCTAGACAGATACCATCACATCAAATCTACTTATTCGAGGCTGAGTAAAAGTATAAATAACAAATGATTGACGAAGCAAAGCCAGTTTGGAATAAATTTCTAATTGTCCATGAATCGTAAGTGATCTCATAACATTACTAGTTTATAGGGTGTGGACTGAAAACAGTCGCTTTAGCTACCAGAACTTGAATGAAATAAATCTTTTTTCTTACTTGATTTCGGTTTCCAATTTAGAGTTCAACTGGGTTTTTAAATTATTATTTGCAGTGCTCATTTTGTTTACTGAAATCTAGGCTACTATATTTTGTGGAAATGTCGAAACTTACCTGTTTTTTTTTCTTCTCATTTTGTGCACTTTATTCCAATTCTGTGTTATTGTTACTACTAAGATCTTTGTTACTAAACCAGCGTTAGAGTGATCAACGGAGCCGCAATTTTCTGGCAACTATCCTCTATAAACTTGTAAAGTTTCTAAGCACAAATGAAATAGAAGAAAGTATTGAAGGCCTCGGCCACAGATTAGGTGTGCTAAGCTGTAAATTGAAAGTTAATCTCTTGCCCAGTCATTTCTTTTTAATTCTAGTTTTGTGACAACTTGTATGGGCGACCAGGTACATTTGTACCAATGCAGTCCAACATGGGTTAAAATTAAATGTTACTATCTATACTAAATCGCCGTCCAAAACAGTCCAACATGGGTTAATACCGTACCGGTACTACAACTAAATTTTAACTTTGGAACTAAGTTCGTCAAGTAACGAAACATTTAATCATTACTTCTAGATAATGAGAAGCTAAGTTTCTTTAACAATTGCAATAAAAAATACTATTTTTCAGGTGTACCCTTCCCGAAGAATTTTATAAGCAACGCTAAGACAATCCTAAAGCGTCTGTTCAGAGTTTACGCTCACATATACCACCAGCACTTCAGTGAAGTCGTGCAACTTGGGGAGGAGGCTCATCTCAACACTTCCTTTAAGCATTTCATCTTCTTTTGACTGAAGGTCTTAGCTGCCTGTTGCTTGTGCTTGTCTCCAGGTCTGGGGTGGTCACTGGTCAACCCATATTCTACGAAAGTTGTCAGCCATAGGTCATTGATTGAAAGTACAAATTAAAATCTATTGATTTCATGATAGGAATCGTGATGTACACAGTGATTGGAGCACATCAATGGCTCTTATCATACTAAATTGTTCAAGCTATGTTCTCGAAATCGTTGGAGGATAACTTGACTCGTTTGTTCAAGTTATCCAATTACTGATAAACTGAAAACGTGAACGAACGGTTTCAGCAACACGAAGAAACAAGACGTGATTTGTGTAGCTTATATCTGCCTGGGATTTCCATGCTAGTTTCTGTCAGAGTAGCTGTAGCTTTCTCAGCTTCTGAGGTGGTTTTCACACGCCTTATCAACAACAAAGTAACAGCAAAATTCTCGCTCTGGCTTGTGTATTTTTGGATTCTCCTTTACATTTGATGCGTTCTCCCTCTAATTCCTCAAATTGAAAATGCTAATGATTGAGGGATGCCGAGAAACTCGAGGTTCAGTAACAACGTTAATAATTGAATTGAAGTTTATGAAGCTTCCAGCTGCGTAGCCTCACACACACCTCAAAACAGCGGCAAAATTTATGAACGTACCAGGACTGCTGGCGTGCTGACGGGACACCGCACTTGCTTTGCTAGTACGCGAGTGCCGCAAAATTTAGGACTAGATTTAACACGTTGACTACGAAGTGGTAGATATGCGTACCTCGAAGTGTATTTCTCCGGGACGTAGTGGTACCTACCGTAAATATACCTTGGCCTAAACAACGGCCAAGTCCGCGAAGAAAAAAGGCCTATAACTCGATACATATTACCGTAGTATATATCTAGGTTTCGATGTTAAAATTCCATGTCTTATTTTTTAGTTTAATTAGGAAGTACCCCTATCATAAATTTTTACCGGCTAACGCAATTGAAAAAAAAACGAAATCGCGTAATTTGTCCGGAATGAAAACCCGTCTGGCAAACCTGTTTCATAATAGTAGTACAGAAAATGAAATTGGTAATAGTACAAGAGGAAGCAATCGGAGTCAACGATGTTAGAGAACCGTAAAATGGGACGATATATCGTGTGTGTGTAATAACCTCTGAAAGCTGTACTTTGAACCATACGTGTGATGTATACTTTGGAAAAAGGTTATTCATCTTTATAGTTCACCATTAGCAGATGCATGAAGTGACTACAAGGTAGTTAGTTACTTGTCATTAAGAAAATCATTAAACAGCAAGTGTAAGGCCGTCCGGTAATTTATATCAAATCCATGAACAACATGGATTTGAACAGCAACACACATTTTACCACAGTACGGTAGTAGTCTTCCATGAGGTTCCAATGACTTTGCAGAGATATGTGCAAGCTACGTAATTCGGCTTGTGCGCTATGAAGTTCTCATGGTTCCACGGATTGCCACCGTGCTGATGGACCGGCTGAAAAAAGCTAGCCGCTCAACTTCATCGTAAAATGCTAAAAAAAAAGAGTTGTGCCGTTATGAAGAAACCGAGTGGATACGAAATTATCCGTAAGCAAAACGCAGGATCGTAGTGAAAACCGTAGTCGGTCAGAGACTGTCGCTTGCTGCTCGACTGGCTGTTGAGGGGAAAAATGTCTCGGGGCTTCGTGATTAAGATGGCGGAATTTAGGGATTGCAGGTGAAAATATCGAAATAAATCATGCCATCTTAATTTAGTTTAAACTTCAGTATGGAACGCGGTGCGAAGAATTGAGTTTAGTGAATATCGAATTTAAAGAATGAGATTCGTTTCTAAAATCTCGCTCCTGAGGTCGTCCGAGCACAGCCAAAGGGATCGATGCTCCCAGCATTCCAGCCTTGCCGCAACATATTGACGTTATCTAGTCAACGTTGTTCACTGAGGTTTATACGCTAGTTTACTTCATGGTTGAACTAGTATAAGGTTGACCCATGAGAAGCTCATTTTCGCGGATGGAGCTTGTTTTTCGCCTATGACGTCACTGATCTCAATCACGTCACGGGCATTAACCAATAACCGAAATGCGTTCAAACCAGTCAACCAATCCGTCATGGGAATGACGGGTTTATTTAGGTTTCTCGATCTACGTGACGTAACAAGAAAGCTGAACTGAAAGACGGAACTTCTCGTGGGTCAACCGTATATAGTTCAACCATGAGTTTACTTGAACTTGTTGCGCGGTTCTATGAAACATGTCAGCGATAAACTGTAAATCACTCATAAATTTTATTTCCGTCTAGGTATTAAATCTATACATATTGTATAAAATTTTTCAAAATTTGTATCGCTTTCTTTGACGAAAACGATGAGAGTATTTGTAGAACTCAGTATTATAACAGCAGTACTTCTAAGAAAGATTTTTTAATAAAAAAAAACTCATCACAATCTATGAAATATTTTTTCAATGTCAAGGCAGCAAGAAATGCCAGCATGTCCAGAAGCTCTCTCGGGTGTGAGGTGAGAGGGATCTCTCGGATCCCTCATTTTATTTTAACTCGTTCTAACAAAAACGCATTCGGATGATAATAATTGTTTATTAAATTTTACATAGGTGATGCTTGACACAAATACAAATTCACCAAAATTATCTGATGCTGCAATCATAAGGAAATTATTCACCCCCACAGCACATCTCCCTCATTTGTATATCAAGGTCCGATCCGCTTACCAAAGCCTTAAGGGCATTAACACCGACAATGACGCGTTATGATACCCATTATTTCGTGATGGCGGTTAATACAATCGTACAGGATGGGCTTAACTCCGCAAATGGCTAAAGCTGAATAGAGTCACCACGTTTCGACGTATGCTCCTGCAAGCTCGTCGCTGTAAATTGCACGGCTTTTATTTCAAATTATTGTTATTTTTTCACCTCACTTGACTATTGCGGCAATTCCCTCATTCCAGTTGGTTTAAACTTAATTTCATTTGTGTCTGATTTCATTGAAACTGTGATATCGCTGACCTCTGGTCAACTACTGCTGATTTATGAGTTCGAATTTTTATGACGCTTACAGTTGCTCAAATTGATTTTGTTCAACTTTGGTGGTTAGAACATCAAAATTTTTCCGTTTTTTCCGTTTTATTTCTTTGATATAATAGGTTTTTAATGGTTATTATTTAATCTTAATTAGTTTTGTCGATAACAAAGTGTTATTTGTCCATGATTACGATCTTTTATTTCAGTTAAAGAGATGGAAAGCTTTGGATTTTAATTCTCATATAATGACATTTGAAATATTTTGCAGGAGTTTAGTTTGATAGAACGCAAGGAACTGGCGCCACTGCAGGAGCTTATGGACAAACTCACCACCAAAGACCGCTGAGGGAACCACGTGCTGCAAACCACGACCGGGGGCCATACTTTCAAAACTCGTTGAAAATATGAGTACCTACGTTCAAATCAGTACCTCGTTGAAAGTACATACGTTCAAAGTGAACGTAGGTACTTACGCTCTATTTTCTTATCTATGATTGGTGGTTTTTGTTTTTGAAAGGCCGTCAATGATTGGCTGATGAACTTACGATCTCTTCACTTTTTTGAAGTTGGTATGGCCCTCGGGACAGTGTCCGCGTCATGACGCAGTAACCTCGCTTTTCTTCAGCGACAAGTTCAAAGGACTGCATTGAAGAATCCATATATAGCAGAAAATATAATCGGAAATTTCAGAAAAAAACTGTTGTTTGATTGGAAAATGTTTTGCTCTAATTTCAGTAATTCGTTTCACCCACGTATGTCTTGGACCATGGTATGTCTTGGTAGCGCTTCTTTAAGTGTCACCCTTTCTTTTCATCTGCCAGTGTTTTTTTACTAATGTAAAAAAAACACTTGCAGATGAAAATAAATTCTAGTTCTAGACTGCATCTCTTTCCTACGTAGGTATCTAATTTCACTTGAATGACTGTATTATGAACTGCCTTCCAGTGGATAGAGCATTTGTCCTTCCCGCATCAGATTTATTTCTAACGACGAGACATTTTCCATCATAAGAACTGTCAGAATCATGATTTAGGTTATTTCTTGAGACCTAATGTCGATGTTAATGCTAACCTGTTGAAGGCCTCGCGAAAGTGGCTAGTCATGACACGAAGGCACCACTAGTTGATATGTTGTTGGCTTGTCTTGTCTTCAAAGGATGAATTTAAATTGAGAATGCTGCTCGCTAATTTTGTGATGGCTCCTCGCATGCGCTAGTTACGTTAGGTAGGTACAAATTTTCGTGTTAATCATCAATGAAATGTGAACACATTTCCTATCACTTTGAAGGTTTTAGTTCCTAGTGAATGTTCTTATCACATTTGTCCGCAAAGTTTTGTTTTTGGGGGGTTTTCTCGGAAATTGTTACTTTAGGCTACATGCGTAGAAACTTAATGAGAGTTGGCAGTCATAAATAAAATAACTGATTCTGGAATAACAATATTAATGTCGTTCTACTTATAATGTGTGGCAATGAGGGACTCCTGCCACCATTGACCCATTACCAATCAAATGTTTTTGAGAACGTAAATTTTAGAGTGAAACCTTGACGAGCCTAAGGGAAATAAAGTCACGTGTATTTGCTGCCATCGACGTAGTCTTTCGTTTGCAGTGGTCTCTCGGTTGCACATTTTAAAACACTTTTTTTGATTGATGTCGTTACTTTTTTGTTATGTAGAATACACCAAGATTGAATTGCTTGTGACTCATATTTTTTAGTGTAAGAATAAAAATGTCCAGCATTATGTATCAGAAATAGTGTGGAGCATAAATACAGAAAAAGATCAGCTTGAGTGCAGGCTACTGTACGAACAACATAGTCCCAATCAACATAGCCATGATCTGCCAGTATTTTCATGGGACTGAATTATGATCGTTGTATGTCTTAGTAGCTTTTTTTTTAGCACTTGGATATTTCAAGCGGTAGTACGGAAATGACTCAAATTGAAAGATTTGAAGGAAAAGTATTAGTAAGTGTACGTTTTCTTTCGCTTAGTAACGAATCGCTAAACAGCATTTAATTTTTACCTCACATGACCTTTTAAATGGACCGAGAATTAATTAGAACATTCATACCTACTTGTTATGTAATGGTTTTAAAGTTCTTTTCTCGAGACGAATAAAGACTCTCGAGCCTTCTTCTTTCTCCATCCTTTACTTGTCTCGCAGCCTTTACTTTCTCAACCTTCTTCTCTCACAACCTTCTTCTCTCACAACTTTCTCACAGTCTTCGCAGAGCCTACTTCTCACATCGTTCTCCTCATAGCCCTTCTATTTACAGTAAGAAGACTGGATGTCCTATGTTGTGTATGCCTCGGTTGTTGGTCGTAATAATGGTGAATAATGAAAGTAAGGCTAGTTCGTAATGGTGAAAGTAAGGCAAGTTCGTAATGGTGAAAGTAAGGCTAGTTCGTAATGGTGAAAGTGAGGCAAGTCGCATGCTAGGCTACTATGTCTATCGTCCACAATGCTTCTCTTATCCTGCAATGCACCGCCGTTAGTACGCGCGGTCGATGCCTAGCAGAAGAATTTTGCAAGTTTCACTAATTTTTGAATGGGAATTATCTACAGATGATGACGTGACTTGATAATGCTCGCTTTTACTCTGTAATTGAAAGCAACCCGAAGTTTGATCTAACAAAACCTAACTGACTGGTTAGTTAGGAATATTATATGATGATTTCAATCGCAATGTCAAATTTTGACGTAATTTTTAGTTTAAAGCGAATTTTAGAACTAATATCGTTATCACATAGTGGTTCTTCGCGTGGGCAAAATAATAGAAATTTTACTCTGAACTGCTAAATTATCTTTTGGATTTAATTTTTGCATTTAATATCTTAAACCGAATTGCGCATGCGTCATCCTGTGCAACTACTAGTTACTTTGCTTCTTAGTCTTAGTTCTTTAACTGTTCCCACCTTGATCGTTGTTTTCATTTCCAGTATTATTATTCCTTATTTATGTTGTGCTATTTTGGGATTGATATGGTATCTGCGTCATATACTTTCTCTCGTTCATTCGTGAACGAAGATTGCACTTTCGTGCAGATTGACTAATCCGTGCTTACCGAGCATCACTTTCTTCGATTGCAATTTTTTAATATGAACTCATTATGATTTTTCTCCACGACGTTTATTCCTCGTTACTCTCATGAACATGTCCTATACGCCGACCAAAAGAATAGAGCCGTCCAGCGTAGCACGATAACTTGACTCCCGCTCCCTTGTGATGATCCAAAGCTTGTATACATTATTCCAATTAATGCACGAGTGGCTCATAGGGTTACCGTGATTGAAGGACTTCACTAATTGCTCGAGAGAAATCAAAACTGCCATACTCCGTCTTCTGATGATGCTTTTTTTTCTGCGTTTGTTTTTCTTTAGCTCCTAACGATTTTTGTTCTCAATCTTAACTCCATAAGTACACTAACATCATGTCATTGATGAAGACTGAGGACGATTAAAAGCAGCGCCTAAGATTTCAATGCTTATATCGTCTTTGATTCGCACCTACAGAAGTTCTGAGCTCTACGAAAAAAAATCCTATTAATGAGCCTTATAAAAATAACATTAAGATGTCACTCCCTCATGTTGGTGCATGATCCTATGTAGTTCGCTACATTCGGTCCATGGAGTTGTCATCTTGAGTGACAAACTCGATTTGTCTCTGCAGAACTGTGATGCAATGATGCTTGATTTGTCTCTGCAGAACTGTGATGCTTCCCGTTGCTCGATTTGTCTCTGCAGAACTGTGATGCATCTCGTTGCTCGATTTGTCTCTGCAGAAATGTGATGCCATGATGCTTCCTGTTGCTCGATTTGTCTCTGCAGAACTGTGATGCAATGATGCTTGATTTTTTCTCTGCAGAACTGTGATGCAATGATGCTTCCCGTTGGCTAATAACTGTTTTTCAAGTGTTCTCCAGCGGAGCCAAGGAAACGTGTCGAATTTCTTGTAGCTTCTCATTATTTATGGCTATGGAAATTGAGTACCAGTTTAACTGCGGATCCGATTAACATTGTATTGTAACCTGTGCGTTGCTGCATGCTGAAATGTACTTACCTTGAGATCTGATAACTAATTTAGAAATGTAAGGATACGCTGGAGGTGATGTGTTATTCCTTCAATTGAATTGGCTGAGGTATACGTTGGCTCGCAGGATTGTTTGAAATGGATTGCAATGTGTCGTTGAGTTAGGAATGTGCACGATGAATAGAGTTAAGTTGTTTATTTAATTAATAGCGAGTAGTAGCTCTTTATATATCATTTATTTGCCGTTCTCTTCTTGTCATGTTTTTTAACTATATTTTGCAAGCATCGTATTTTAAGCAAAACCTTAAGAGTAGAGTATAGGTTATTTGTAGACCTGTTTATTGTAAAGAATTTATTGCTTCGCTGATTACGACAATATTTTATCCTTTTAGCCGTCCATTGATTGCATTAGGCGTCTGAAATTATTCAATTTGCTGCCTAAAACTATTCCTTCAAGAGAACCTTCTAGTTTTTCCTGCTCTGAGTGTTTCGTCTTCGCAATGACGTAGTCCATAGAAGCTGCTGATTTCTTTCTAAACTCGGCTTGAAAGTCCAGTCATGTTTTACGAATTTCGTTTAGTCCAGTAATATTATAAATGATTTTATTGTACCGACAATGGCCTGCGAAAATTGGTATGTTGGCGTGTTAGTTTTTCATGTCTGTCTGAAACTTTGATTTTTGTTAACTAAAATCATTTTTAACTAAAACTTCCCTTAATGAACGTAGCGAAAGGTCTCCTGAAGTTCTCTCTTAAGCACGTGACATGCATGTTCACTAATAAGGTTACGCCTAGTTCTTTCATCACTGACATTAGTGAATTAGCGCAGAGAACATAATTGCTATCACAAGTGGTTTGGCCTCAGAAGTATTCTTCTAGTCTTCTGATTATTGATCCTTGTGACTTCACTAAACTGCAATTGTTTATGATATGCTAATAATATTAATAATTGCTTCTCCAAGATTACCGCGTGACGCTGTCTCGAACGTGTATTTCATTTATAAATTTTGGTAATTTCTTGATCCGACAGTAACCATCATAATTGATTTTTTCGTGATTATATTCACATGCATTTTTATGGATTAATACTTCAGTATTAGTACCTATTGCTGAAGCAGGGCTACTAGATATTGCTGAATATTTAATATCATTTTGTTATTCTCGTAGATTAGACGTAAGTTGATGAGTTTTGGTCGGCAATTTTAAGGAATTTTAAGCCGGACTATGGCGAGTCAGGATATAAGACTAGTGTTTTAATATTTGTTTTAATATATAATTTGGCTTCATGTTATGAAAAGTTCATATCGCTTTTTATTATAATTTTCCTTAAAATTATCGTTTTAGAATGTTCAATCTTTGATCATTGTTTCAAAGAGTGAGTTGTTTTCGTACATCAAATCGCAATTTTCAATTTTCATGCCTTGTTATTTTCTTGATGAAATTTTGTTAAGGATGAACTCCTCACTGGAGTTCATTC